AAAAGTAATGTAATGCTATATTTTCATAAATGATTCAAAATGCAAAAATTTATTTTATGTAAGCAGGAAGCTAAGTGGTTTTCAGTACACAAAAGAGGAACTGCAAAAGATGAGCTACTTCTGAAAATCAATAGGAGAAATGATCTTTCTCATGAAACATTAAAGGAGATATTTTGGTTAGCCCCAATTTGTTTTTAAGGTAATACAATTTATCTGGGTGAAAAACGTATTTCTACTATTATAATAAAGATCATAACTTAAGTTACATCAGCAGTTACCCAAAATGAAGGTTTTTTAAATGATGATGAAAAAAATCTCAGTCACTTGTATTCTACTAGAATCTCAGTATCCTAGCTTTATGCTGATTTGTATCCAATTTGAGTAGAAATGGATATGAGTGTTTATCTTCCATAATAGCTTGCCACAAGCCTACTGCTTGAATCATGTAGCATATGGAAAATGTGTTTAGCTACTTGCAGAATTTCTCAAACAAAAAAAAGATTCATTTCTGCTCATATGGCTTGTTTACAGTCATTATAAAAGCATGTTACTATGTTGCTTACTAGTTAGGAGAAGCAAGTGTTGGCATACTCCACATTCCATTACATTGGCCTTTAGGAAATGTACGTATTGATTTTCAGTTATAAAATAGTAAATCATTATAATTTCTTGTGTTTTAGACCTGAACATTTTAGGATGTATTTTTATTCTTCCACATTATATCTCTTCTAGATATTTTATGGTAGTTATTGACACCTTTTACAAAAATATATTAGAGACTGTTCATGCTTATGTGAATTGCCATCACAGGATTAATCTGTAACTTATATGAGCATATTTTATTAATAACATCTTATCACTAAATTGAATATGGATATTTAACATTTAATAAGCACAGAATGTATATGTAGAAATGTACTTCATGCCACTGGGTTTTGAAAATGTGGAAAAGCCATTACAACAGCCTAAGAATCTTTAAACATGCCCCCCATAATATACTAGTTGCAATGTTGCAACTCATTTAAGGAATAGTTCTTGATAACAATGATTATAATATTTTTGTTTGTCAGCATATTACACAATATGTCCTCAACGTATGGAAATAAAATGTTTGATACAATTTTAAAAATATAGATTGTACTCTCTCTTAAATTCTGGAAATATATTTGCCATTTAATGATTCATAAACATGAAACTCATAAAGTGAAGGAAGAGAATTCAAAACTATAAATATGAAAAATGATTAATTTTTTGTAGTAGTTTATTCTTATTAGTAAAGTAGTATAAGTTGTCTACAAAGCAGTACTTTTTACATGGCTGAATAATTAAAATGTTTTTAATCCACTTTTATCTTTAAAATATCTTGATTACTAAATGACTGTTTCATCATTTATATATAACTACATATACATATATCCATTTATATTTATGTTTGTTTAAATAGTAGATTATAAATGTAAATATGTTTGATATGCATCCTGGCACCAGAAGCCAATTCTTTTTCCTAAATGACAAAAAAGCTTGTTAGCCTGAAAAAAACTAACTTTTGTTTAGGTTCTGTCATGTACAAAAATATTCTAGGCAGCTTCATCTCCATTTTGAACAATTCTACAGTTCAGTCAAAGTTTCTCTAAAATTATTTGGTTTCTCATTTTTATGAAATAAAACGAATATTTAGGGAAACTTTCAATAAGTATTTCACTAATTCTTGCTATTGCTATTTCGTTTAAGTCATTTTGAGATATCATCAAAACATTTTCAAAAGTTCTCTGTATAAAAATACATGTATACATATGTATATGTACATACATAAATAATCTCTTACATGATTACATTCGCATGGTTGAATGGCTTCTTCTGAAAATCCCTTTAATGTTAAGAATACCTGGAGAATAGCAAAGGGAGAACGTCTGCTTTAAAGAATGTTCTGTGTCTGGAAGTAGAGACAAAATTTTCCGAGGATACATGGAGTCTAACATTTCCTGGTGCTGGATGATGAATCAATTTTGTAATTACTGAACATACAGTTTATTCCCAGATTGCACATTTCTCACCTGTAACAGAGGCCTGGAGCAGTTGTGTTTATAGGCATTGAGTGTGCATTTATTTCCCAGGCCAGGGGACCAGAATGTGGGTCAATCCAGCAGTGTTGGTGATGAGGCAGGTGGAGTTGTCCCCAGTGCCAGAGGCAGTTCTATCGCTCTTTTATGTGCTCCTTGGGCTACAGAGCTTCTTCACTCCACAAGGCCTTGTACCAGAGCATTGCTCACAACCTTCTTGCTACTCCACCTGGGAAGTAATTTTCTCCCTCCCATAATCAGGGAATATATTTTTCTTAATACAAACTATAAACCTGAATTCAAGAATATTCAGAATTTTGAGAGTATCTTTCTTGCACTGCTCTATTTTCTTAATACAATGCCAAGTTTACTCATAAGCATGAAGATCAAGGATATTGGACTATTAGAGATAGTTCCCATTTAAATTTTTCTATCTTCAACAAAATCATTGAAATAATCTCTCTATTCAAGAATCTTCTTTTCCCACCACCACTCATCATGTACTCATTTCAACAGAAATTGCTCTGAAAAGATACAAAATTGACCGTTCTTCAGTGAATTAGGGCTTAAAATGCAAAATAAGCTGAATTGATACAACTTATACCAACATTATTGAGGGTCTACTGAGTTCCCAGCACTGAACTAAGCCAGATAAAAATTTAATTAAATAAATCACCATGGCTAAAGACCTCCTAGCTTCACAGCATTGAATTAGACTTGATACAGAAGTAACATGTTCTTCACTCTGAAGTGTAAAGCAATGAGATCATAACATATCCTTGAAAATATGGATCAGGATATCATAACAGATAAGACACAGAGACGGATAAATGAATATCAGAAGCCAATTGGATATGTAAGGAAAGTGAATGACTTACAGTGTTCTGGCTTGGGGGATTAGGTAGATTTCACTCCCCAGTAACACCTACAGAGTACATGGTGAAAAGTGCTGGCAAGGCTGAGACAGTGAAGCATTGCTGAGAGAGGAAATGGTGATCAAGAACTCAATCAAGTTAATGCTGGTGCTGGAGAAAATTACAAATTAATAAATTTTGTGCGATGGCCCTGATTCCATCTTTTCAAACTCAGTCATCGCTGTGTAACTTAAGTCTTTGTCACTTTTTGTCTGGACTAAGTAGTCTTCTGTTCTCCAGGCTCTATATTACAGCTAACGTAATTATTCCAAAATGAAATATAATCACCTTTCTTTCTTGCTTACATCCTTTCACTGGTTTCTTATTGCTTATAGGAACAAGCTTAATCTTTTTACCTTGGTATACCAGGCCCAGTATGATATGGCTATGACTTGTTCTCCCATGTCTGCTCCTATCATTGCCCAGTCTGGCCCTATACTCTCATCTTTTGAAAATGCTAACATGGATTTCACTAAGGATATCATGCTGTTCTATAGTTTCATGTCTTTGCTTATGCCAATTTCTTCTGCATAGGATGCTGTCCTGTCTTCATCTCTTTTAGCTTTTTTCCTTTCCTAAACTTCTGTAACTGGTAGCTCCCCTCATCTTTTAAGATACTGTTTAAATATTCTCTGTTTTAGACCTTTTCCTGACCTTTCCCAGTAGCAATCTATCATCTGTTATAACCAGACCTTACATCTCTACTAAAACAATTAGAAAAATGGATTTAAGTTATTTACATGTTTGCCTCTTTTATTAGACCATGGGATTTTAGCTAGTTTGGGTTGGAAATAAGACAATGATGCAATGATTCATAGCTTTCTAACAAAATACATCTATTGGTATCTATCAATGAATAAAGGTGACTATCTTAGACTTTCCCAAATCAAATTTATCTTTCTCAGCAATTTGACTAAGTTACAGATCACTCTTTTATTATGCGTTCCACACTCGTGAGAAGATGGTATTCTAGATGTCAAACATATATAAAAGAAGAGAGAACAGTGTAATGAATTCTATTACCCAGTTTCCACAATTATTAACTAATGGTCAACTGTGTTGCCTCTACACTGTCTGTAGCTCCACTCTCTCATCTTCCCTCCAAATATTTGAAGCAAATTCCAGACATAATAACATTTCATTCGCAAATATTACAGTATGTATTAATATTTCTAAATGATAAGGGCACTTTTAGAAAACATTGATGATACCATTATCACATCTAAAATATTTGCCATTTCCAAATATCACCCAAAAATTAGTGTTCAGTTTTGCACTACTTCTTAGATTTTAAACTGTTTAAATACAAGGGTAGTAAGGTCTATGCTTTGTGAATGGTTGATTTTTTCTTTTCTTTTTTTTTGGGGGGGGGACAATTTTGCTCTGTTACGGATATTTTGTCAATATTCAGAAACATGTTTGGTTTTTACACGAAAGGAGGAGTGCTACTGATATCTTGTGTGTGGAGGCCAGGGATACTGCAAAACATCCTACAATACACAAGGTGGCCACCACAATAGAGAATTATCTAGCGAGACTAGTAAGAGGGTGACATTGAGAAACCCTGGTCTATAGGTTCCCCCTGCATTATATATTGTATTGCAATTTATTTGTTGAATAAACTGGGTCATTTGTCTTATAAAGTTTTCCACATCTATATTTTGTTAATGATACATCGTAGTATAATTTAACATTTTTTTCTGTTTCTTGCATCATCAGATTCATATACAATTTTCTTTTGCTATCAAAACTGCTTTTTTTTCTGTGTCATAGATAGTGTTGTGTACTTCCGTCAGGAGGCACATAATGTCTGATCATCTCTCTCTTTCTCATCAGTATGGGAAACTATTGGTGATCAATGTCTAAATTTGTTAATTCATTAGGAGTTGAAAAATAGTCATATTATATTTTTATAATTTATTCATTTATTGAAAACATCACTGACTCTTAGAAATATTCACTCCAACGTTTGATAGAAAAATAGCATTGTGCATGAAACATTTATGCATTTTGTATTTCTTTTCAGAAACATCCTGTACCACCTTGATGAAAAGACAAGCCGGTTTTCAATACTTGTGGAGGCTTGGGAACACTGCAAACCCCTTGCATCAAATGAGACCCTTCAGGAAGCCCTGTCAGAGGTGTTGAACAGCATTAATTCAGCTCAGGTTTACTTCAAAGCAGGACTTGATGTGTTCAGGAGTGTCTTGGATGGGAAGAATTGAGAACAGTCTGAGCATTTTTTAAAGTTTGCTTACAATTCCACAAGCAAAAGCTCTAATTTAACCAGATTTTCTGACATTGAAGGCTTATTTTCCCCCATGGCTTTTTACAAGTATAAAGCTATTATTACATTGTATTTTTTAAATGTAAATATAAAAAGAACATTTTGCACATTTAATATTTTTTGTATCTACATTTCTGACTATGTAAAGCAAGTTATTGAAATAGGACTTAAGAATTACCTATTAAAAAGAAATCTGATATTTTATATATAAATACACACACACACACATACACACACACTATTTTGAGGAGAAAGTTTCAAGAAGTTCCAGAGTATCTTTGTTCCTATGGGCAGAGCATATAGGAACACAGTTTATTCTCTCTGATAGAGCTATTAATGACCTAGTTTCTGTAAAAGAAATGAAGAGTTGATATGGTTCTGATTAACTTCACTATTAAGTGTTCAATATGAAGAATTCAAGTATTGTGACTGAGTGATTGGTTGACCTAAACCACTTTGAATGTTTCTATTTTATGAAATGAAGTTTCTCTTCCTAACACAACTAGATGTAGTAATACACTGGTTATGAAATTGTATTTTTTTAAGTATTAATGAAAAAAGAGCCATAAGCATTCCAGGGAAAAATCTCCAGGTAGCTACACAGAGCAATTTAAATGCAAATTTTTTTCATAACAACTTACAAGGTGACTAGCTTTGAAACCCCTAATTTGCCTCAGTTGATTTTCTAAGACTTTCAGGAGTGATGTATGTCTTAAGAGGGAGAAAAAATATATCTTACTACTTTTTCTCTTGTTTCTTTTGGAAACACTGAAACAGGGACTACTCTAAAATGAAAGCATCTCACATTGGTTTTCTTTCTTGTATCTTTTCTGAAACTCCTTGCTGTAAGGCAGCTTTCACAGAGTACTATATATTTTCCACAGTAAAGTAGCAAAGTTTCTCTTTGAAACCCAAAATATCTTCTAAAGCATCAAATTTCTATTTCTGCCTCTGACAAAAAGAACTTACTATGAAAGAAATAGTTGTTTTTATCAATAAAATCTCCTTAATACTATGAAGAAATTTTGGTATTTTTTCTTCTTTATCCTTAATTGTGACTAAGATGGAAATCTAGAAAATATTCATGCTTCTAAGTTTCTACAGGGTTACTGTAAGAGAGTGTCTCATCTACACTTCAATTCTTCTCTCATGTGGAAAACTAAGTTTTTTATATTGACATTGTCGTTGAATAGCTCTAGCAATTATTATTATTCTCCCAAACACTAACATTCTACCTATTAAGTATCAGGTTAAAGTTCTAGTTTATCTTTAGAAGTTTATTTGAAAAATGGTTTTCGTATACTGGATAAAGCAATTCCCCTTAGGAAACATAGCCTCAGAGTATTTCATATAAATTTTCTCTACCTAATTCAAACATACTTCCCCATCATACACCACCAGAGCAACATTGCAAATAGTCTGTGTATATTTAAATTTTCACTTTTTATGGATGAGCATAAACCTAGTCTTAGTTTAAAGGCAAACTAAAGTTGAGGGAAGATAATTAATCAATATCCATTAATTGATTTATAAGGTTCAACACTTTCTACCCTAAATTATTTTTATACGCTCAAGGCAAAGCATGGAATTGAGGCAATTAGCTAGATAATTCAAGCAGAAACCCATTTTCATGGAAATTGCCTGTGTGCACATATTTTTAGATGAAAAATGAAACTACCTAACAATATTATTTTTTACCAATGTATTTGTTTGAAAACATTTGCCATGTTGAAGAATGTGTATAGGAAAGGGCTAGAAATAAACAGGCTTGTGCATACCGAGACATTCGTGATCTTTCTTCCTCTTCAGAGATCATCAGAAAAGAGGTGGGAATACACATGCAGGTGCATGTGAGCCCAAATGCCAGAAAGTCTTATACCAGAAGAACTTAAATATTTAACCACAGGTTGATGTGTTCATTCCTGTTATTCATTTACAGATGAAATTAAAACAAAGAAAGGCAAACTATTATCAGTTTGGTAGTTCACTCTTTTAGAGCAAATTTCTAAATGAATTTATTCCCATAACCTGCAATAGCACTGAGAGCAGAAAATATGTTTCTTCTTCATCTTTGTTTAAAGATTGCGTACCTAGGTAAGTCACATTGTATAGATAAGAACCTTCTGTATTCCTCACCTGTAAATTAAATGTTATTTGCTATTTGAAAACTGTAGTTAACTATGGTTTTTATTAGTCTATTAAGAGATATGTGGAGAAATTTAATTATAACTAAAGCAGATGTCCAAAATTCTATACATGCTGCTTTACATCTTTGCAACAAACCTCTTAACTAGCAGCATTATTTCTATAGTGTGATTACCTGAGAGTGCCTCCAAATGTATATCATTTCACTCCCCTCCCCACCCCACCCCCAATAGATCCAAATAAATAAAATCCTGAGCAAGTTAATAGCAAGTGTTATGTGAATTGGTAGTAGGTTTAAATTGTTGCTGAGTTGTCCATATGCCTGGTGCTTCTCACAATCTTTCATACATAGAATCGTGCCTAGGAAATAATGAATCATGAATATTCTCTGAAGAAAATGTGGCAAAGGCGTAACAGTGAAATTTATGTTCAGGCAGGGTATGCATGAAATACTGCCTTTTATGGAAAAGCGTAAGTCTCAGAATCAAAAGAAAGCCTAAGAAGGATTCTGGTCTAAGCCCTGAGATCTTGCCTTCAGCCAGAGAAGGCACTATCGGTTACCCCCACCAGATGTAATAACTAAACCCAAAGCGAATAAGAAACTTGGACATAGTCGTGTATTTAGTTAGTAACAAAAGCACCACTGGAATTTAAGCTTCTCTGCTTTCTCATGCAGTATATCTTGCTTTTCCCTGAGGAGACAGGGTTATAAACGATCTTTTCCAGTGCATTCTATGTAACCAGCCATTCTATCAGATGTTGCATGGGCTGGTTTTAATTCAAGGCTAGTTCTTTCTCTGACTGTACCTGACAAACAAAACTGTCCCCAGGAATTCGGGCAAAGGAAACAAAGACTGCGTACTTGAGAGAACGTGGGGAGAGTCCTTACAGAACACCAGAAGTCAGGAAGAAGGACATTGAGCAAACTATTTCCGTGAGAGGGCAAGTTAGGCCAGTGTTAACTAAACAATCTAAATCATCGTTTCTCAAAATGTGAAATTTAGAAAGACAGGGCTAGGAATCTACGTCTTCAGCAGGATTTCTGGATGTTTCTTACACACACTGATGTTTAAGAATTTCCAATCTACGTTAATCATAGGTTCCAACGTAGGTTCCAAGAAAATGCTAGTTGACATTTCTAGATAGATTGAAGAGTCACAGTAACAAGAAAGACATAAATCTTTGTTATTAATGGAATCATTATGAGAAAAGAAAAGTGGACCCATTTTATCCCTAAGAAAACAATTCAGTTGCAGCTTATATTTGCGCTTGCTACATCCCAGGCACTGGTGTTCTAGAATTTTCCCATGTATTTTTTTTTTTTTAATTCCCACAACAACACATTTAAAAATGAGAAAACTAGGTTGAGTGACTTGTCCACAGTTCCAAAGCTAATAAAAATGATGAGGCATGTTTCTCTTCTGGGCTCACTGTATTCAGTTCTTTGTTCTTACACTGAGTGCTGAAAAAAAAAAAAAATCAGACTATTTTCATTCTAGAAAGTGATATAATTGGAAATTTTAACATATTTCTCCAAAACTGATCAGACTGTGCAGTCTGCAATTTTTTTTTGGTATAATAAAAGGGTTCGAAGAAACAAATGACGTCATTCCTGATGATGGTAGCCCCTCCAACAATGGTGTATATATGTAGGTAAAGTTTGAAGGTATCTAAAGAGCATGAAAAGGCAAGTGCACCATTGTGGAATCTCATGACAAGTAGGCTTACAAACAGTAAAAAGAGACCAGAAACCACAAGTCTTACACTTTCCTTCTCTAAATGCTTACATAATTTCAATTAAAAAAAGAAAAGCAGGTGCTGTGATTTAGAACCACAGTTTTATGTTATTTTTAAAAATTCAGAATAACCAACTGACTTTTTTTATTAAATAAATGTAGAACATATAGTAAGTTTCCCCAGAAGAAAGATAGATGTTCACAAAAATAAAATAAATACTTATTTGTGACCATCTTACTAATGATGAATCAGCATCTTTGCCTCAAATGAAAATCTATAATTATTTGTACGACAAATTGGTAGACCTAGCCAAAAATGTTCTCATGAGACATTCTGTGATATGTGTAATTGATTACTCCAAAAATAAAGCTTTCTCTGAGGGTAACACATTGTCATTTCATTGGTTTAATGGGCTATTTAAATGTGCCTTAGCCGCACATTTGCTTAATAGAAAGGAATTATTTTAAACTACCAATCCATATGTTGAGTGGAAAGGAAGTTGGCCCACATATTCCAATAAATATATCAGCAACATAACAGTTTCATCACGGGACCATGAATACAGTGCAGGGAAAAAACAAACAAACAATACAATATTTGAGAAAATAAATACTCTGCCCAGCCACACTAGTGAGTTTTTATTTCTTTTATGAGTTTAAATTATCAACTTTAAAAAGCCTCATTAGAATTTGCTATTCAGAAAGACCTTAAAAACCCTCACAGAGTTCTAAGCATCCCATTCATTGAAAATACTTTTCAGTTAAGTAGATTTGTTTTGTGCACTTCACAATTTTAGGTGACATGAATTTGAAGCGCAGCAAAAGAAATGTATAAAAGATAGCCTTTTCTGGTCATTACCGTGTCTACTCAAGTTTCTGTTTTCTAGGTACACTCTAACATTGTAATTTTTCCCCCTGAGAAGTAATTTTAAGATCTATCAGTCTCAATTTAAATGATCTGTTAATCAGCCAGAGTTTTAGTTTCATAATATCGTTCCATTGTCTGACAAAGATATACACACTAAAGTGCCTTTAGCGGGCCTGGGACTGTCTAGAATCTTGGTACCCTGATTATTGCAAGAAGACATATTTCTTAAAACATTTATAATCTTATATTTGGATTTAATCTGAATTTACAAATAAAAGGGTTAAATTGAGGCAGTTTCAAGTAGCATTTAAGAAAATGAAGTGGCTTCAAATTTTAATGTTTCTGGTTAGATTATTTTGTTTAAATTATACAATTATATAATTTTCTGTAACCAAAATGGTAATTTTGATGGATTTTTTAATGCCAAAATCCAATCATCAAGGCCAAAGAAATGCACGATTACTCTGCTGTCTTATGTACGATTCAGTCAAGAATTAACTCAGAGGCATTTGATTCAGTGCTTACATCTAGACAAAGTTTTAATGAGTGCAGACACAGCCTAACAATATTTCATTTAATTTCTTTGAGGGCTTAAGCCAATAAACACTGCGGTAGCTTTTCTCAGAAGGAAACAGATTTTATTTTCCAGGTGCTAATTAATATGTACCACCTAAGTCCCCAAAGGATCACACAGGTGCCTGTATCATGCCATATGTCATGTGCTATATTCCTGCAAGCTCAAGAGAATAATATACCATCATTATTATGAATTATTATGTTGCATTGAAGTTAATGTCAGTCTTTTTTTCTAATTAAAGTACAAACTTGGCATGTGAATAGAAGCTTAGCTAGAGAAGTGGAGTTACAGTCCCTATTTTAATGAACTACATATATTTTTCAATCAAAATGTTTAATTATTTAATTATCTAGCCTGCTTGGTAATCATAACTCTCCAACTTCTTCAAAGGACCTTTATTCAATATGTTACCACTCATATGGTCATTGCTTAGTGTGTGTTTTATATTTTGAATTTCTTAGATGCTTTCAGTGTATGTGCTGGTGTTTTATTAATATTAAAAATTTTTGTTTACTTCTATATCAAACTGCCGCAAATGGACTACCTTATTTTGAAAGTTAGAATAAAATGCTATTACTCTCTAAGCAGAACTTTAGCATATCTGTTTGATAAGAAACACAAACAAAATATTTTTCTACGCTATTGCAAATTGTCCGCAAGAAACAAAATGCCAGATGGTTAAGTGTAGCTCACATAGTTATATTCCAAAGATGTTATAAATAATTCTTTTTAGCATCTGAGATAGGTCTCTATTAGGCAATTTCATGTTTACGTTTCTAACAGAAAGGTTTAATGGCAAATACATGCCTTATATTCTAACTTGCTACTTGGAGAATATGGATATTCTGAAAAGAAAAACCCTTTCTAGAACACTTTGCAGGGCTAATTGATTTTTTATAGACATCTAGAAAATAGCCTGAGCAACAAAGTGAAACCCTGTCTCGCTCTCTAAAAAAAAAGTTACTAGGGAGGCTGAGGCGGAAGAATCATTTGGGCCCAAGAGTTTGAAGCTGCAGTGAGCTAAAATCATGCCACTGTAGTCCAGCCTCTGTAACAGACAGAACCTATCTCAAAAAAAAAAAAAAAAAAAAAAAAAAAAGAAAGTCACATGCTGTTGATAACAGTTTTATATGTGTTTGGAATGTTAATATGGGATACATACATTTAAATGCATTTAATACTTTAATCATGTATGCAATGTAGCAGCATTTAGATATGTAAGATTTTAGAAGTAAAATCTCAGTGGTATAACATTTACAACACAGCCATAAAATGAAGAACAGGGAAGAGCAGGAGAAAATTTATAAATTAACCTAAGGTAAAATTTGGAGGAAAATTTTTCCAAATAAATTTGCTTTGATTAAAAACAAATATCTCTCAAGAGTTGTCCCAATTACTAAATTATGTTGAACTGTTTTGGTGTTTAGCTTTGTTTAAAATAGTTTGATTATCATCTGTGATTCAGAAATATTTTCGTTGTACAGAGATTTCATTGTCATTGTAGTTGTAACTAATTTTTAATGATATTGATTTAAAGGCATTTGTCTGTAGTTTTAAAATTACTATATAGGGTTGAATGTCTAATTTCTATAATGTGTGGATGCCCTTCAGATATTTACTGCATTCTATATTTAGCCAAGTGTGATCACAATTTATTTTATAACTTTTTATGTGTTACATAACTCAATATGCATCTTACTTAAGAAATTATGTTGTAATTTCGAGTGACACAAATAGATTGAGATACCACGTCCATTAAAAATATAAGTGAATATTTTATATTTAAGTTGTTTAAATATTTGCACATTATTGAAAACAGTACTATGAAATGAAGGCACCATTTAAAAAACGTGTTCTGAGTCACAAATTTCATGAATGTGTACAGTGAAATGTTAGTGTTTAAAGCACCCATTTTGAAATTATTAAATACAGGTAAAAACATTGCTATACTGTGTTTTTATGACAAAATATACAGTATTTTGTGTACGCAAACGAATTAGTTATTACTCTATTTTATTAATGAATTATTTTTATATAATATGTATGACACCCAAACAGATGTTCCCTTGTTTAGAGAAAATTCTATAATATTTTATCATCTTTTTTGTCCTTGCCTTCCATTCTTTTCTTGAAAATTTAATTATCATATTGGGCCATTTAGATTTGTAGTTTGTGACAAGTTCGAACATCAAGTAACAGTACCTGTATCAACTGCAATGTTAAACAGTTTTATTTTCTCAAATTTGCTCTAAAAATCCTCTCAGTTATTTTTCATATAGAAAAGAATTTTCTGTTTGCATGGTGGGTGTAATAGATTTCATTCATTTATTCATTCAGGAAATATTTGCTAAAAACCTCTTCTAGGCCAGGCACTGTATTAGGCACTAGTGATACAGAGATGATTAGCACAGATGAGCACAATTTTACTTTTGGAGTTTCACAGTCAAATAGGATACAACACTTCAGTTTAACTAGTAGCAATATCCATGGATAGTACAGTTTATTGCAAACATATTGGCAGAGCAGAGATGGTTTAGAGGTGCAATATGCTCAGGCCACATGCCAGTCCCACTGGACCTTCCTTAAGACTCTCTAAATAACAGTGTTCTTTCTCTAACATCTCTGCTATACAATAGCCTGCATTTATTAGGGGCATAGCACTGTGTCAGACTCTGGTTGCCAAGCATCACTTGGATGAAATCTTTTAACCTTTAAAATAACCTATGAGATAGGTGTTATATCATTTTGTTCCATTTGATGGATGAAAAAACTTATGGTTAGGGGGATTAACAACTTGTGATAGTTATTATATTACTATATACACACAACTACATAGCTATAAAAAACTTTTCAAAAATCTGGAGAAATATATATATACCTTGTATGTATGTAGACACACACAAAGGAGGTAAAATTAAAACAACACATAAAGTTGTGTATTACTTATGGATGTGTATATATGTATTCAAAATATTAAAATCCAGACTGAAAAAATAAACACCTTGTTTAATTCACGATAGTAGGAGGGAAACAAGTGCTAAGGATATGATACAGAGGACAGCTTTAACTGTAATGCTTTATTTCTTGTATATATAAAAAGGAGTTGAAGCAAATACAATAAAACAGTAGGTGGTAGATTAGATTATTGTTCTTATTTCTTTTCATCCTCCCTTGTCAATTTAGGTGGTAGGCACATGTGTGTTTATGTAATTCTTATTATATTTGTGAATTAAAAATAAAACTCTCAAAGTAACATAAAATCCTAATAAAGTGGTCTGATTCTGGAGCCCACACTTACAGCCACTAATGTAATCTGCCTTTTAAAATTTTATGAGCATGGTCTCTTTCTTGTCTTTTTCTTCAGCTCTACTAATCTTATAAAAGCTGCTTCCATAAGGCATTTTTCTGACATTCTAAATGCTCATAGTTGTAATTTCAATGCGGTTACATTTATTATCCAATTTTTTTCTCTTCGGTTCTTCTCTATCTCGGTAAATACACCAGATTCTCAAATCACGAAATAAAAATAATCTGTGATTCTTCTCTTTACCTCTCTGCTTACATCCAATCCATCATCATGTTGGCTTGCCACAAAATACAGCTCAACTCTGCACATTTCTCCATCACCACTGCTGCCATCCTACTCAATGCCACCATCTTTTCTCCCCTGCATTACACTAGTCATTATATCTGTTTCAAGCAAAAGGGATTTTAAAACAGGAAAATGATTAGGAATTTATTAAATATCCAGAGTAATGAAAACGTAAAAGTGCTGTTTTTCAGAGACAGTAACTGCAGGAAACCACTACTGAGCTTAGCGCTGGAGAAGCATGAAGGAAGAAATCTATGATAACCCAGGAGCTAACATTCTACTGACACTCCTGGAAACTGTTGCTGCTGTTGGTGTAACCACTTCATGCCAGACTTAAACAACTGCCACAGCGTAGATCAGAAGCTTGGGAGTCTCTGCTCCCTCAGACTCCCCTACTAGAAGAACGAAAAACAAAATGAAACAGCTTCCACATGTTTTTACCTTTTAATCCTTATAAGTGCCTCTCATTGGCAGATCCAACTGGGATCCAGCTGGCACAAGGGTCTGTGGAATGTGCATGCATGTTCCCAGCTCTAACATTATGAGAGAGGATATAGGAGGTGGGTATGGGGGTGTGTCCATACAGATCATGGCTGACACAGTCTTCAAAATGATTTTTATATGAAAGCATAAATGAGTGCACATACCTAACTCTTATATCTTGCATGTATCAAAATCCCTTGTTTATTTTTCTCTGAAACTATGTAGCTAATTTAACCATATAATATATAATAAAATAACATAAAATGGCTTTAGTGTAACTGTTCCATGCTAATTTATAACCAACAGGGTGATTAACTTGAGTGCAGAGCTAAGAGAGCAAAAGACTTGTAGACACACAGCCTTAGGTTTTTAAAAGGAGGTCTATGTGAGGTGATATCAGAGCAGAGAATAAAAATAATAAAATCTTGTAGAAGCCAAGAAAGGTTTCTCAAAGGAGAAAATATTTGCGTTGTGTCTGAAGGTTAACAGAAGTACTTCAGGAGGAAAAGGAGAATGATGGCATCCCAGAAAAAGGGAACAGCATATCCAAGTCACACAGGATAAAGGACAGGACATTCCCTTAGTTTTCTGCTTCAAAGTTTCTGTTTCTTTTTCTCACCCTCAGCAAAGACTGGAATTTTTATATTATGGTTTTTGTGAACAGAACAACTTCCGGACTGCTTATATTTTAATTAAGACACCATGTGATATTATAAAACGTTTAATGTGACTAACTTAGAAAGAAAATAAACTGAAGAGATATTTATCATAACATGGAAGTCATAGTATTAGTACTTTCCCATCATACTCGGCATAAAATTCATATGTCTTAGGATGATTTCTAAGACCTTTCCTGACTGACTCCCACTCTTCCCTTTCCTTCTCAGTGCTTACCTCTTTTCCAACCCACATGTTATACTACAGCCTAATTGAAGAGCCCAGGTTTTCCTGTATGTGCCGTGTTTTCTCATGTCTCAGTACCTTTGTGACTGCTTTCACTCTTTCAGTGGAACAACCCTCCGTTATGCATATACCATGGACATCTATTTTTTCTAAGATAAGATCTTATTGATAAAGACATTTCAAATTTTCTCTGGAAAATTATTCAAACCTGCCTCATAGCACATTATATTGTCATGTGGGGTTCTTATAGTTCCTGGGATGTGATGAGTTAATTCTTTGTTGAGTCTCTAAGTCACCCTAAATTATGTCTGTAATTTTGTCTTTGATTAAGCTACATAGGCTTGGTTTCTCTTATTCCCCGCCCCCGCCAAAAAAAAAAAAAGAGAGAGAAGAAAAAGTTTTTAAAAAATCCCACCAGATTTCTGGAAAAAATAGATACAAGTCCAGAGAAAAAATTATGCAAATTAACACTGCATTGCTAACTGGGGTGTCAGCCCCAAGTCCTTTTTTTATTTGAGCATCTTGGCTATACATGGAAAAAAATCTTCAGTTTACATTGTTTGGCCTGAATAACTTAGGAGACTGAAAGTATTGCTCTGCCTATTCAACATGAAAAC